ATTTCTGCAAATCATTGCAAACAAAATAATATGATTTATAAATATTTGACAAATCGATAAATTTAAATTTATAAAATATAGGAGTTTTTAAATTTTTATAAGTTTTAACTACTGTATTTTTATGTAACATTATACTCTATTGTGAATTAGTGTTGTTTTATTTTAATATAAATAAAACTTTAAAAATTAATTACAATTTAATCAAATGTTGAATTATTAGTAATTAAATCTTGCAATTTAGTGCTGATGGCAATTATGAGGTGACAATAATGACAAAAGCAATAATTGTAAGAAATGATATAATTTTAAAACTTTAATTTATGTTTAAAATGATTGACTTGTATGACAGCACGACAACGGGAAAGTAGTTTGGAATCCACCGGCAATTTATAAAAGTTCGTGTAATATAGATATCAATTACTTCCCATTTGATCAGCAGGGTATGTCTCATTCATACATTCTTTTATATTGTCCTCTTATCATATTATCATTTGGCACTTAACACATATTATACTAAAGGGGCTATAAATTATTAATATTAACCTTTAAGAGTTTACCAGCTCAGAGATTATTTATATCAATAAAATGCTTATATATTGTTGTCAATTTCAATATAGAACAATTCACCAGGATTGTTTATATTAATACAAATATATATCAGAACATTATACTGTAGGTTGTTTTGATAGGTTCTAGATATATTGTAATATTTAAAACATGGTTTCTTCTTTAAATATTGACTTTACTTTAAACCACATAACAGCTCACGTTTTAAACACTCATTAATATAATAATTATGAATGACATTCAAAGAATTTTAACAATTATGATATTTATTGCTTACCATGACCATTTCATATTAATAATGTATAATTGTGTTTTATAAATTTATTTTTCAGAATGCTTTATGAAATTCGGGAGCTGGACGTAAGTTTAATATACAAAAACATTTCATGCAATTGCGATAATGTATGCATTGATTCTCATATTTGTTATAATTTTATTCAAATTCATTGATCAGATACGATGGCGATAAAGTATTTATAATAGAGTTTAGGATTCAATATATTCAAATGTTATTATGATGAATATGATGTTTAGGTGGATCTAAAACATATGAATACAATTGATACGATAGACTCAGATGCAGAGAGTGTTGTTGATTATGGCATGGATTTATCGGAATTCTATATCAATGTCGAGTGGGATATCATGACAGTGCCGGCCATGAAGAGGATTAAGTATTATAGCTGTTGTCCCGAACCCTATATTGACGTCACTTTCAATATTACTCTCCGAAGAAAGACATTGTTTTATACGGTATTTGTTATTAATTACAGAATTACAGAATTACAGAATCAAATCACTTGTTTACTTAATCTATACTCAATTACATATAATAAGGTAAATCTCATCATTCCTTGTGTCGGCATATCATGTCTTTCAGTACTCGTCTTTTATTTGCCCTCAGATTCCGGAGAAAAGGTGTGTTTCAGTAGTTATT